GCAAAAAAAATCTTTTAAAAGGGGTTTAAACAATTGTGTGTTGTCTGTAAATATAACCAGCTTCTATTGGTAAATAAATATTATTATATATATTTTTTTTTATAATCACACAATAAAAACAGTCTGCAGAAACACTTTGATTGGCATTCTCCCTTTGTACATGTCATCAGAGTGGAAAAACCCCGCCCATGAGTGACAATCTCTCCCTCATTAGCATAGGAAGTTAGTCTTGGTTTTGAATCTGCCACTATGCTGATTCACGGGCACCTGTAGCTCTGCCCTTTTTGAAAAGACCACAATCTCATTTAAACTTAAAGCTACAGTCACCAAAATGGCACAATTATGATTAAAACTTAAAAGGGGCAGTTTCAAAGAGTTATAAAAAATTATTTGTTGTGTATTTTGAGCAGAAATGTTAAATTCTCTTATGATAAAGAGCGATCTAGCAGTTGAAGATTGCTGGAGAACAACACTTCTACCACTGAACTGAACTACAATTCCCAGAAGTTATTGTTCCAATCGCCCCTGCCACAGCTGACAGTCATCCGAACACTGACACACACAGGTGAAACTCATCTTCATTGATTACCTGGACTATATATACACACCACACATTCACACAAACTTGGCTGAGTCTTCTATAAGGTTTGGACACTGCACAATGGAGTTAAGGATCCACAGTTTATTAATAAAAGTAGTCAGGCAGGCAACGGTCAAACAGGTAACAAACAGGTGCATGAAGGTAATCCAAGATCGTAGTCAATAAATACATTTTTTTGCGAATGGTCACAGCCGGCAAAGAATTAATGACAGGAAAACAAGGCAATGATCAAAACACAGAAAGACTAGACAGGATTAACGTTTTGTGGACCTACAGGATAACAAGACTCAGCTAAGTTTGCGTGAAAGTGTGATGTTTATATAGTCCAGGTAATCAAAGGAGTTTCAGCTGTGTGTGTGTCAGTGTCCAGATAACTGTCAGCTATGGCAGGAGAGATTGAAGCAATGACTTCTGGGATTTGTAGTTCAGTTCAGTGACATAATTGTAGTTTCCAGTGGTCTCTAACTGCTAGATTGCTGGTGATCATAACACATAAACACTCTAAAGACATCAGAGACTTCATTCATTCATTTTCTTGCTTAGTCCTTATATTAATCTGGGGTCACCACAGTGGAATGAACGGCTGACATCAGGTATAATAGGTCTTCTTTAATAACAATTAATAGACAGCAAATTAGGAGTTTATTAAAGCAAAAATCACAATTAAGGCTTGTTAATAGTAAGATTTGTACCTTAAATTAAAGTGACAAGAGTTTCCTTTTCTCAGAAATGCACAATCTTTACATTTACAGTTTAATAACACCCAATGTAAAATTAAGATTTTGAAATTTAGATCTTTTTTTGGGCTGGAATATGTTTTACTTTTTGAAACGTACTGTGTGTTTTCATAGCGCACTTTCATCTCAAATTGATCAAGGAAAGATTGATTCCTTTTTGATAGGCCCTATTAAGTTCGGCAAACACACAAGTGCATTCCAGCATTGGCTTGTCTTGGATTCTTCCTAGATGTATAATCCAGTTTCCATTAGTGATCCTCTAAAAGCCATCACTCAAGTGCCGAAATTGGACGTTGTTACACAATGCCTCTCTATCCGACACATTATTCATAGTCCTTATTTAATCCTTTATGAATCTTTTATGAGTCTTGGGTAATGCCCAGAGGCAAACTGATTGTCAAGCATTTTTTCTCTTATGCTGTGATCAGCCATTGTTATTGAAAGCTGTCTGAACACGATTGTAAAGGCAAAACGAAATTATATAAAAGGAAAACAATGATGTGAAGGACTGAATTGCTCAAAATAAGAAGCTTGCCAACGTTGTTTTAATAATGATTTTTAATAATTAAAAAAGAACACCATGCAACCTAATTTAGTTAATCTGTTTTATGAGTTTGTGACTAATACATTAGGTATAATAATACATAACAGTAACACTTCACATTAAGAAATAATTTGTTAGAAATAGTTAATTAGTTAATATGAAAAAACAATGAACGAAACTTATATGGAGAGAGTCCAGCATTTAGTAATATGTTTTGAAGTTTTAATTATTACATTTATTACATACACTCCCCGTCCACTCTATTAGGTACACTGAACTACTACCAGGTTGAAACCCCAATTTTGCCTTCAGAACTGCCTTAATCCTTTGTGGCATAGATTCAACAAGGTACTGGAAATATTCCTCTGAGATTTTGGTCCACACTGACATGATAGCATCACGCAGTTGCTGCAGATTTGTCAGCTGCACATCCATGATGCAAATCTCCTGTTCCTACACATCCCAAAAGTACTCTATTGCATAACTGTGGAGGCCATTTGAGAAACCAGTCTGAGATGGTTCACACTTTACAACATGGCGTGTTATCCTGCTGGAAGTAGCCATCAGAAGATAGATACACTGTGGTCATAAAGAGATAATCAATATTTGATTGTTTTTTTTACATTTATAAACATTAATATGCATTTATTATATCATCTTTGCATAAAATTACAAATAAATAAATAAATAAATAAATAAATAAATAAATAAAACGAAATACCACTTCATTGGCTGGACAGTAAATTTGACATTGTTTTCTCTTCAGCCTTACGCATTTTTTCCCTTTTTTCTGAGTCTTGTTAACACCATTCTTTTATTATTTCAGCAAATAGGATTTTAAAAGCAATATTTGTTGTACTGCATTTTACGTTAGCCGGCAGCTAGCTCTCTGCAACTCTCACACGGTCACCCGCTGAAGCTAAGCAGGGCTGCGCCCGGTCAGTACCAAGGTTGCTAGGTAAACTAGGTTGCTGCCAAAAGTGGTGTTAGTGAAGCCAGCAGGGGGCGCCCAACCTGTGGTCTGTGTGGGTCCTAATTCCCCAGAATAGGGGCTCTTTACTGCTCAGTGAGCGCCGTCTTTCGGATGAGACGTTAAACCGAGGTCCTGACTCTCTGTGGTCATTAAAAATCCCAGGATGTCCTTCGAAAAAGAGTAGGGGTTTCACCCCAGCATCCTGGCCAAATCCGCCCACTGGCCTCTGTCCATCATGGCCTCCCCATACCATAATTGGCTTCATCACTTTGTCTTCTTACCACCAATCAGCAGGTGTGTGGTGTGTGGTCTGGTGCAAAATGGCTGCCGTCGCGTCATCCAGGTGGATGCTGCACACTGGTGGTGAATGAGGAGATCCCCCCCCAATTGTGTAAATTGCTTTGAGTGCCCAGAAAAGCGCTCTATAAATGTAAGGAATTATTAGTATTATAACTATGATGACCTCCACAACTGAAAAACCCGGAAATGTAAAAAGGGTTCATTAATGCTTTCGAAAACAAACTGCTCACTGCTAACACATTAAACTAATGTTGTATAATCACTGGCAGCACGGTGGCACAGTGGGTAGCGTTGTTGCCTCACAGCAAGAAGGTCACTGGTTTGAGCCTCAGCTGGGTCAATTGGCATTTCTGTGTGGAGTTTGCATGTTCTCCCTGTGTTTGCTTGGGTCTCCTCCAGGTGCTTCGGTTTACCCCACAAGTCCAAAGACATGCGCTATAGGTGAATTGGGTGAGCTAAATTGTCCACAATAGTATCTGGACACAGCCTTTATGATGCAAGCTGAGATCGCATCACTCAGCAATGCAATGTCAGACACAATGCACACAAAGAAGTGAGTGACGTCACTGTGAAGAGTAGGGTTAGGGGAGGGGTTAGGTGAGCGCATTGAAAAGCATTGGATGCAGCTCAGATTGCACTGCACCAGGTCTGCATCCAGACGCATCTCATTCTCCATAGTATATGAGAGTGTATGGGTGTTTCCCAGTGATGGGTTGCAGCTGGAAGGGCATCTGCTGCGTAAAACATATGCTGGGTAAGTTGGCGGTTCATTCCGCTGTGGTGACCCCAGATTAATAAAGGGGCTAGACCGAAAAGAAAATGAATGAATAATCATTAACTGAGGTGTTTAATAAAGTAGATATTTCATTGATTTACCGAATGTTCAAAATCTAGCGAGATGTAATGTTAATTAAACGCAGCAATTGGACCCATGGTGCCTCTGTTTGCTCTTCCCCAGAGCCTCCCTCTATGTACAATAATGATGATGTGTCGGTGATTCTCATGAGTGCCTTCTCTTTCCTGGGCTTTTGATCTGCGGTTTCACAGGTCAGGAGGCATGCTAAGAAATCTCAGTTGCAGTGAGGGTCATTTGTCAGACACCAGAGTACATGTGCTCATTACCACAGAACTTCACAGGGACGTGACCTCTCGTGTCTTCCACGTTTGCCCGAGAGTGCACCGGACACCAACTGAAAGCTTTTGCTCCACAACTGCAATACCTCCAAATGAGCCCCGTGCAAAGACACGAGTTATACCACTTAATACAACATATTATACATGCACATAAATTATGAATGATTTAATTAGATTTTTTCTTTCTTAATGGATTCATCTTAGATTCCACTCACTGATTCAATGATGCAGTCTTAACGAATAACAGCTCGCTGCGTTAAGGAACAGATTAGATGTGAGTGATGTTGTTTTTTCATATGAATTACAAACTGGTTTCAGTCATTTTCAAAAAACTACATAAATTTGCCTACACATAACACTCTGTTCTGTTGTAATAGTCAGCTGAAATGAACATTAAAGAGATAAAAAAAACTTTTATACTGTACCATCGCTTATTAGGTTTAGGTCTACAGATTATATTATATGTTAATGAAGTACTCACTTTCACATTGGAATTTGCCCTGTAAATGATGACTGCTTACACAGCAAATTCATCAGAGTTAAATTCTCGGTGTTGAAGCATTTCAGAGTGAAGTGTTGACTTTAAAGAGTTAGATTTTGATAAATGAATATAATAAGAGTTAGAATTGATTTTATTCAGTGCGAAATCAAGGAGTTATCTTTTCCACACTTGGTGGTGTTATTTCCAACATCCGGGAATTCATGCAGCCCCTGAAGAATTTTCCAGACGCCATTTTCCATTTGAGGTTTAGAACAGCAACTGGTGAGTCAAACTACCTAAATGTTGGTATTTTACTGACTTTCTTTAAGGAAATACAGTTGTAAACATATTGTTAAGTTATTAACTTTAGAATGGAGTGACAATTTTAAACTTCTGCGGTTCATACATGGTCGTTTGTGTATCTAGCTTAACTGCATTACTATTGACTTCTTTTCAAGAATGTTTTTATATATGCTCACACATACAAAGTGCATTAAAACATCAAATGTACATGTTCAACACATTTCTGTCACGCTTAATGCCATTTTGTGCGTTGTTACCCATCTGTAAAATAAAATCGACACTTCTCCTTTAATTCGAAGCAAACTAGCGAGGGAATCCCCGGAGCCGCCTAACGTTAGCCTACTCTGTCCGGCTGCTAACGGCAACACAGGACGGTTTCCATAAGCTCTGGAGAGTTTCTAAAACATATCTGGTGAGTAAATCAACACATGCTTACTTGTAAAAGGCTTCCTGACTAAAACATATGATTGTTTGTTATTCGTGTATGTTAATTTGGTTATTTTAAACACCGCGGCCCTTTTAAACTGGTTCATTCGTGGCTGTCTATATACTGTTAGTCCATAGACTCGCGTGATAACGTACGCTTGAATTATATTAAGTGTTGACAACCATTAAAGTCGGAATGTTAACATTAATGTCTGTAAATGACCGCGTTTGCACTTTCTCGGACATTTAACGTTACAGAAGTCTCCCGGAAGTTGCGGGACTAACGTTAACGTTATCCCGCAAATGCACAGAGATTCCCAGATGCCCAAGTAGATGCCCGCAAATGAATGATAATCTCCCGGAAATCGCGCGTCTCCCGCCCGGTCATTAAACACTTTGCACACCCCTCTCCACCGCATCCCTCCCAGCTCTTCAGGTACGTCGCACGCAAGTCACCCCCACCGCTCTTCAGGTACGTTCGCGCGCAACTCATCACCCCCACCGCTCTTCAGGTACCCATCTCTCCCGCTACCTCCCGCAAATCAACTCTGTATCCCCCGAAAATGACTTTTCCCAACTCGGGATGTCTGACGTTAGTAAGTTAGGCTATTTCTGTAGTCAGGAACATCTTAGTAAAACTTTTTCTCCCGCATGATATTGTGCTTATAGACTAAACCTAGCATGTACACAACATTTCCGTTTTATTAAAGACAATTTAGTGCGTTGTAAACAGCCACCTGTCTGTAAAATTAATCAACTGATTCATATTTGTGCAGCCTAAAGATGATGCAGGTTTGATTTGTAGATTTATTATCAATAATCAACATCTGAATCAAAAGATATCTGAAAAAGTGTGAGGTATACTTTGTGATGTTTATCTCTCTTTTTTATCTGAAGGTTATGCATATGTGTTTGATACTAATGTGTTGTTGTTTTTTTACAGCCACAGTTCTCTATCCAATAACACAAGACCCTGTGACGGTGGCTGATTAGAGACGGATGGTGTATTTCCAGAGTTGGTGAAATTAACAATCACACCTTCTTGGTCATATGTGGTGATAATAATGAAGGTATGTTTGATAAAGTTCTGTATTTGTTTCACAATAAGCTGAGAGGGTATTAGAGCATTAAAGAATAACAAATGACATGAAGGTGATAAGTTTTGTATTGTGGGTGAACTGTTACTTAAATAATGTTTTGCTCTTTGCTTTGCACTTTTCCTCTTCTGCTTATCCTAATATTTTAGATTATATTTGGACTTGAAACATCTGCTAGACTCCAGGAAAGGTGGCGTCAATACTGGACCTGAAAGGGCCTAACAAGTTGAATCTAGTAAACACACACGCGCACACACACGCACGCACACACTTACATAAAACTGTAAGTTTATGAATATTTTTTACACTGTGGCCAATATTTTGGGGAAGTCAGCATCACTAAATGATAGATAATGAAGCTCCTCTAAATTTTGCTCCAAGTGTTGTGTTAAATTCAGGATTCTGGACAGACAGCTGCCTGTTTTTCCAGTTCTAGTCATAGTGGTTAACCTAATTGTTTTTGGAGATCCAACAGTGATATATGTGTTTTTTCTACTTTTCCATATCCTGTCACCTCAACCAGCTGGGAGAGTCAAGTTGTGGATCATCATGAAGATTTTCAAAAGGTGAGTTTAGATTTCTTGAATGTTTTATTTACTTTAAATGTTCTTTTAAATATATCATAGAATTTGATTGCAATTTTATTTTCAAACATTTTTCTTTGTCATGCTGGAGTCTTGAAGAGTTCTTAGATGAGCATCACCCTATATCCGTGCATCAGGAACCACCAGACGAGCGATCAGCAGCTGCTACATCGTCATGGATAAAAAGGTCATCCTGTGGCTGGGAAGCACTTCATTCACAGGACATGCTTGATGAGATTTCCTAGCTCAAGTTTGTTTTTACACAAGTTTACAGCATTTATACCTTCATTTAAACTGCCGTGTTTGATATGGAGGACCAAGGAAACACCAGAAGTGAAAGATTTGCACGCCAAGTAGTTTAAAATGTAATTTCAGAAGAAAACTATGAGTTCAGAAGAAAACTATGAGTGACGATATATTGAACTTTCAAATTGCTCTGATGAAACATCAAGTTTGGACTAAAGGACTGAAACAGCCTTTTTGAGCACTGGTCATACATATTTTGTTGATACTGTCTGTACTAATAAAACATTTAAAGCATATTTGACATTGTTGCATTTTAAAAACTGAATGAATTGTTGAAGTGGTGAATGTTATCAAATAAAATGTTTTTTCTTTTGTAATTTACAGTCTATTTGACCTTTTTACCATATTTACACTCAAGAGAGTTGAATAAAATAACTATATATTGTAGTAAAAAAATGACTACCAGGCGGTGTTAAATATAGTTACATTTTTAACTCTGCCCAGAGTTAGAATTAACCCTTACTTCGGTGTCAATGTGCCAACCCTTTTGAAAGTGTTGATTTAACTCTGTTTTGAGTGGACCCCATGAGACACTTTCAAAGTGTTGAAATTAACACCCATAGAGTTGTTTTGGGTCCCCATATTTTGCTGTGTAGTTCCGTATGGCTGGCTTTTCAGGCGTATTTGTATTGTTTGCAAACAAAACTAGACTTGGTATGCAGAGCAGAGCAGACAGAGGTTCAAATCCGACAAAGTATGATTACAAAAACCATGAAAGAATAATTATTAAAAAAATAAAATAAAATCAGCATAAGGTTGCTTTATAAGTATGTGGTATCCTCTTATTGTTTGCTTTTAAAAACACTTATGATTTTGGTTTAAGGAAGGAGCTGTGTGGGTCACCCAAAATCAAGTTGATATATTATGCACGACAAGCTGACCAATTTCTCTCAAGGATGCGCATGAGAAGGACGTTAATATACGCAGAAATGTACACAGCGGCCTCTGGTGGATTTATAAGAAATAACACGTATGAGGAAACGTGTAGTATTGTATTTAGGAATGACAAAAATTTACTCAGAGTTTTTTTGAAAACAAACGTTCAGTAACCAATACAATAAAACAATGCCACCATATATGTTTCTGAAAAAATTTAGACCTGCTTCTCAATCTGACATTTTAATCTTAAAAAAATCTGGAAAACACAAAGATTTTGCATGTCAGCTACATAGTGAATTAATTCACAAATGGGTATATAGCTACTTCTACACTACTATAGCTACTTCAAAAACATTTGTATATAGCTGTTTATTTATTTATTTATTTATTTATTTGTTTGTTTTCCTGTTCTGTATCTTATTCTTGTAAAGCACTTTCTAACAACCTAAATGTGATTTATGCTCTCTCTTGACACACATTTGATTAATGTTTAAAGGTTCACAAAACCCTTGAGTACTTATTTTGAGATTCTGACAGATGTGTGTGTGTGTGTGTGTGTTGAGCATCAGTAAAGACAATGTTAGCACCTGTCAGCTTTAGTTGTGAGGTAAACTGGATAATTTTGAGCTTTTGTCAGCTAATTTCAGCTTCCGGGTTTAAAATGATGTTTGGGGCGGATCAAAATCAGCGACGTAGCACAAAACTGCAAGTGCAAAGATGACGCGTCGGTTTCCTATTATTATTCATAGCTAAGATTTCTTATTCTATGAGACAAGACTGCTTCTTAATTATTCAATTAATAATTGAGCTGTGAGACACGGACCCACGGCACACAGTATTTAGCTGTTCATGAAGGGTCGTATGTGCATGTTTCCATGATCCACTGGGTTTGTTGCATGTTTTTCCCTGTGATGCTTTCAGAGGCGATACAGCAAAGCTGTTTGTGTGCAGCAAGCATTTTTGTCGGGAGTGCAGTCAGAGAATTGGAAAATGGCGGGTGTTGTCTTTTGTCAGGTGTTCGTTTACATTTAGACACATCGCCGTGCTACTGTGTTTGCCTAAATCCTCTAGATTACCAACAAGGCTAATGGTTAAAATAGACAGAGCAAGAGGCCTGCTGCACTGAGTCTGCATTCAGATCTATGATTCAACCCCAAGGATTGAGGGAAAAGTCCTCTTCTTTAGTGTTTATATGAACACGATTATCTTTATAATGATATAAATTGTGGTTATCTGTATAAGAAATTATGAATAACAAATGTAGCAGGGTATTAAATTACTGTTTATTTCTTTGCATTTTTACTTTGGAAACAATAAACCGTCTCCTCACGGTTTGTCTCTCATTTCGTGAGCTAACTGACAACAGCCCCCTCCTTCTCCCCTGCAGGCCACGCCCACTCCTGCCCTGAACCGAAAGTGGTGGGGTGTCATGACCCTTTAACAAGTTTTATTCATGCATTTTGTCACTTAAAAAAAACTTAGATAACTTTTAAACCATCTGAATGTTCAACATTGCTAATAAAAATAATGTGCAATTCATATATTATATATTAATTATATATTTTTGAGTGTTGCTTAGAACTGACACTGATACAAAGAAATGCGTATTTTCACTGGTACTGGAACCAAATGATGACCTTTTGGTACAAACACAACTTTATTTGTACCATCTTATTTAAATCAAAATACATTGAAAATATTTTGAAAAACTAAATGAGTTCATAAAAATCCCTCAGTAATTTGCGAAAACATTTATTAGTTACAAATTGACACGTGACACTGTGGATGACATTTCACTGCCTTAAAGCAGGAAAAAGCGATGCAAAATTATTTTTGCAAAACATTTTTCCTTTGTTGCTTATTGAACTGAACTGAATCAACAATGCACAGATTCAATAAACTGATTGTTTATTACTGTGAAACAATCTTGTACCACACACACAGACTGTATTTTTCTATATTTTTTTGCCACAATCTCTTTGCGTGCTGCTTTGGCATGATCACAAAACAGGTTTACAGAAAGCCGCAGTTCTCCAGCTCTGTGCCATTATTTCAATGAAACAGAGAATATGGCAGTATTAGGGCTTAGATGCTGGGGGCAAACTGCTTCACCATTACCTAGCAGGACATGAGCTGGATTCAGACCAGCGATGTGCACTTTGGCATGGCACATGTAACACGGCACTCACGACCATTTTCTGCATCACATCAAAGCCCTGGGGCTTGTACCTCAGGATTAGTTTGCACCGTGTTAGTGAATAAGTCTGGTCTGAAAGCTGTGACCTACTGTAAGAGGTCTGTAATAGCTGGAGGGAACATGCAGCCCTGGAAAATGATATGATATGATATGATATGATATGATATGATATGATATGATATGATATGATATGATATGATATGATATGATATGATATGATATGATATGTGACATGTCATGATATGATATATTATATATGATATGATACATGATATGACATATACATAGAAATGCATCATTAATAAGAAGATATACATTTTTTTCAAGGGGTCATGCATATTCACAAATATATATACAAATGGCATATACAGCAGTGCAGTAATACAACTGCATCAATGCAGTAAACCATTAAAACAAAAGAGTAAATATAAAAACAAGACAACAGGTAACAGTAAGACGACAGATAATTTGCACCCCCACAATAATTAACAATTACAATTGTTATTCAACTATATTACAATAATGTTCTACTGAAATATAAACACTGTATACAATCATATGCAAACAGAAATCAGAAACAAATACAGGTAGTCCATAAAAAAATATATAAGAGCATTTCCAAAAACATAATAGGATGTTATGGATTGAAGAGAAACTGGCAAATTATTCCAGTCATAATGTGTTTTATATTTAAATGAACATCTGCTACAAATACAACAAATAAAATAAACAACTTAGCAGCTGAATAAAAATGAATGGTAAAATATTCAGTACTGTAAAAAATTCACTGTTACTTAGACTGTTGCTGATAACGCTAAAGTGTATAAATCTAACATTATCATTTGTTCAACCCATATTTATTTTTAGTCTCATTTTCAATAAATGATTCAATTGTTCACTTATAAAACCTCATGTTTCATTGCTAGATGGGTCGCTTT